ATAGAATAGAATAGAATAGAATAGAATAGAATAGAATAGAATAGAATTCTTTATTGGCCAAGTGTGATTGGACACAGAAGGAATTTTTCTTTGGTGCAAATGCTCTCAGTGTCCATAAAAAAAAAAACATTCATCAAGAATCATAAGATACAACACTTAGGAATAGTCATGGGATACTAATAAGCAATCAAATCATACTAGGGAACAAATAAAACAATATAAATTGTAGAGATACAAGCAACACGGTTATAGTCATAGGTGGGAAGAGATAAGTAATAGGAAGGATGAGAATGAAGAGGAATGAAGAGGAAAGGTACAGAGCAGATGAGTCAATCACTCTGGATGTGCGGCCTGTCGAAATTAAACCGGAAGCTCCGATGCCCTTTTTTGCTCAGAAAGCCATTTGAAAACACACAATATTTCCAGCTTGCTGCCCACTTGTGAAGGGGGAAAAACTGCTTTTTTGACTGTGGTTGTAGGCAGTCCTTGACATTCAACAATTCATTTAGTGACCATTCAAGTCACAATGGCATGGAAAAAGGTGGTTTATGACTTTTTTTTTTTTACACCTATGACCGTTGCAGTATCAACATTCGGACACAGAAACTGACTCATATTTATGACAGTTGCCTGGGGAGTCACCTGATTCCCTTTTGCGACCTTCTGACCAGCACTTAACGACCATGGCAAGGAAGGTCATAAAATGAGGCAAAACTCACTTAACGCCTGTCTCACTTAGCAGAAAATTTGTGCTCAATTACGGTCGTAAGTCGAGGATTATACCTGTATAATGCTTTTTAGGCTCTAGTGTTGGGTTGGCTCTGGCAACCTTAAAATGTGTCCACACATCTTTAAGTTGCCAGATTTTTTATTTTTATTTTTTTGGATTATAAATATTTTATTTTGGAGGGTAGTTTAAATTTTTTTTTAAAAGTAAGATTCTTTCTTTGACTAAGTAGTCTAAGGACAACTCCTGAATTTCTCCACTGAGGTTTATTGCACAGTCCTTGGGAGGGCAAATCAGACACACTTTTAATCTTCAGGATAAAGTTTATATAAGTTTTTTTTTTCTACTTGGGGTTTATGAGCAAGCATGATAGGAGAAAAGACAGTTGACTAGCTCGGAAGTGCATGGCAAGCGATGCCACTCTAACTTTGGAAGATCTATGAATCGTCGAGCTTGAAATGCCTTTGCGGGAAGGGGGGGAGGGAAAAAAAACCCTCGTGTAACGTCATCACACCGCGCCGGATGTGAAGCGCAGGCCCGACGCCCAGCTTCCGGGCGCTCCATCCTCCGGCGAGTGGGGCGCGTTAAAGCAGCGGTGGCGGTTCCAGGGCCGTGAGGGGAGGTGAGACTCATGTCCGGCTGGGCCCCGCTCCGCTTCTCGCAGCCTTCAAAGCCCGGCGAAGCGGCTCAGAGAGCGGCAGAGGGGCGGAAGGGAGCTCGGCGGGCCGGGAGGCGGCCGCTGAGGAGAGTGGCCTACCTCGGAGGGCTGGTGTTTTGGCGGGCTTCTGTGGAGAAATGTCTTCCGATGTGTGTGGGGGGGGGGGGGGCAGTTTCTGTGAAGAATTGGGCCTTTGACGTACCCTTTTCAAATTTCTGGGGGTTTTGCTTATTATATCTTTTAAGGATAGTTAATTTACTTGGAATAATGGCTGTGCGGGGGGGGGGGATTTTCTTGGAAAGTTTTTCCAAATTTATAATTATTTATTGGACACCTTTCAGCTTAAAAAACAAAAACTGGCCTTTTCCTACATTAGAATATTTTTCTCTGGGTGTAGATTCCAGGGACTGAAACGCCGCCGTTCACCGCATGGTTGTGTTTTTGTCTTTTCTTCTTCTAGCGCCTTTTGTAACACAAATGGGTGATGAAAAGGAATCGTGGAAGGTGAAAACATTAGATGAGATTCTTCAGGAGAAGAAACGCCGGAAGGAGCAGGAGGAAAAAGCAGATACCAAGCGCCTCAAAAATGTGTGTTTGGGATTTTGTATCGGGAAGATTTAAAAAAAATAATAATCTGTGATTCTTTTTGATAATAATGGGGTTCAGCTCTTTTGAACAAAGATATATGTATATCGTGTGTGTTCTTTTCAATCGTATGATAATTCTCAGCCCTTTTCACTCTCTCTGTTTAAGTTTCCCGAAAGCCAAAATGAATCTTTTCTCCCTAACTCACCCTAGTCTGATGACCGGGACTCAAAGCGGGATTCCCTTGAAGAGGGGGAGTTAAGAGATCACCGTATGGAGATAACTATTAGAAATTCACCTTACAGGAGAGAAGACTCTATGGACGACAGGTGAGGAAGCTGCTATTGGTAGTCCTTGACTTACGACCAACAGTTGAGCCCAAAATTTCGGCTGCTCAGTGAGACAGATGTGAAGTCAGTTTTGCCCCCATTTTACGACCTTTCTTGCCACAGTTGTTAAGTGAATCGCTGCAGTTTAGGTTGTTAAGTGAATCTGACTTTGCTTGTCAGAAGGTTGCAAAAGGGATCACATGATCCCAGAGGACTCTGCAGCCGTCATAAATATGAGTCAGTTGCCAAACATCTGAATTTTAATTGCATGGGGATGCTGCAACGTTTATAATTGTGAAAAACAGTCATGTCACTCTTCTTATAACTTTGAACAGTCACTAAATGAATTGTTGAAAGTCGATGACTATCTGAACTGGAATGCAAGAGAAAATGAATGTTTATTAAGAGCCATTCAGGTTTTGTCCTTTGAAGGACTTTTTGATCCCTGACCTTCCAACTTCCCAGAGTGCCTTGCAAAAAAAACCAGAATCCCTCCCAGGATGAGCTAGCATGTTTGAGGAGAGAAGCCACAAATTGTTGGATCTCTCCGGGAGCAATATGAACTCCTGTGCTGCTGTTATAATCTACTGAAATTGCTGCTATAGAGATTGAACTTAATAGAGGTTTTTTTGACATAGCTAATGAAATGGCCCTGCTTTCTTAGCTAGTTTTGAAGCCATTTGGATTTGGATGGATTTTGAAGCAACTCTTGGGAGCATTTGGGATGAATGGCAGCATAATAATAGTTTTAAGTCATATATAAAGCACCAGTAAGAATCATGACCCTCATTGTTTGCAGCCTTAGAGATATAAGAGGAAAAAAAGCGGGTTGGGAGGTGGAAAGCAAAATAACTTGTCATTTAGAATCACTTTAGGTGAGATGGTCGTTGTAGCTTTGTCCAAACTCACATTTCTTCTTTGTTTCCCAAATGGTGTGCTCCATAGGGGAGAGGAGGACGATTCCCTGGCTATCAAACCGCCCCAGCAAATGTCACGCAAGGAGAAAGCCCACCACAGAAAAGACGAGAAGCGGAAAGAAAAAAGACGGCATCGCAGTCATTCAGCAGAAGGTTCTGTTCTTCTCCTTTGGGGATTCCTTTGTTGCTTTTGATAAAACTGTCCATACAGTCACAGCCTAGGGGCCAAAACTACGAAGTTTGGAACTAGTGAAGGTTTTCAGGTCAGCAGATCCGTCTAGGAATCATTTCTTTGTGGCACCGCCTATTCAGGAAAGGTTTTAAGCTTGTGGAAGCTTAGAAGTATGAAAGTACTTTTTTCAGCATTTAGTCTAGCTCCCTATTAATTAATACAAGAGCTTCTCATGTAGAAATCATTTATGAGCTGTGGTGGTGCAGTGCTTAGAATGCAGTATTGCAGGATAACTCTGCTCACAGTCTGGAGTTCGATCCTGACCGATTCAAGGTTAACTCAGCTTTCCATCCTTCCAAGGTTGATAAAAGGAGGACCCAGATTGTTGGAGGCAATAGGCTGACTCTGTAAACTGCTTAGGGAGGGCTCTAAAGCCATGTGAAGCGGTATATAAGTCTAAGTGTTATTGCTATAACCGCAGAGATTGCCAGCTAGAACAGTTGCAGGAAGTGTGTGAGCCAAGGCTAAACCAACCAGCCATCTTTTCTTCTGTTTCTTTGCTCTAGTAAGTTTCCAAAATGCCGTTTGTGAAGGAGGGTAACCAACTCCTCCTTTTCTTTGTATCTTTATTACTAGGGAAACATGCTAGGGTGAAAGAGAAAGAACGCGAGCATGAACGTAGAAAAAGGCACCGCGAAGAGCAGGATAAGGCCCGTCGCGAATGGGAGAGGCAAAAAAGGAGAGAATTGGCTAGGGAACACTCGCGGAGAGAGAGGTAAATTTTTTTTACCAGGCCCAAATGCAACACTTCTTCCTTAGATATCTCCTTGAGCAATCCGATCTTGATACTTGGCTATGTTTCTTACGGTTTGTTTTTTTCCATTGTTGAGAGGGAATCGACGTGATCCTGTGAACAATGTCATTTATTTTTATTTAATTCATGTAATCTGTACCCCACCTTTAATTATTATTATTTTTTTACAAATAACTCAAGGCAGCAAACATGTCCAACACAACTACCTCCTCCCTCCTCCTATGTCAGCCCTGTGAGGTGGGTTGGGCCAAGAGAGGGATTGGCCCAAAGTCACCCAGCCTTCTTTCATGGCTAAGGTATGACTAGAACTCGACATCTGATGATTGGCCCAATGTCACCCAGCTGGCTTTCAAAGCTAAGGCAGGACTTGAGCAGACCATCTCCTGCGTTCCAGCCTGGTCCCTTAACCACTAGAGCTAACTGGCTCATTGTCACTTTGTGATATAAACCAGCATTTCAGTATCGGCAACAGAGAGCAATGATAGATTTGCTCCAGTTTCTGTGAAGAAATAGGCCTTTTTACCTACCAAGTTCGAATTTCTGGAGATTTTGCTTATTACATCTTATTTATTTTGCTTATTACATCTTATTTATTTTGCTTATTACATCTTTTAAGCACAATTGGCTTACTTGGAATGGCTGTGGGTACTTGGAAAGCATGAGGGCCAGCTGATAAATTTTAAAAAGTTGCAGGCAATAGAATTAGGGTCGGGTTCAGAAAAATCTAATGTGGTGTTCCTTCTCAGCTCCTTGTAGATATCTAAACTAAAGATATTTTGATTTGGTTAGCAGTGGTAGTACATTTTGGTTTTGAAATGGGAGCATATTAATAAGCTCTAGTAAGAGAATGGTACAATTTCACATTTGTGGCATTCTACCAGTTATGCTTTGTTCCCAAATACTCTGCTGAGCATCTGGTTATATTAAATCTGAGCAATTAAATATTGAGGTTGTATCTGCATTTGAGGTTACACTCTTGTTAACCGCTTGAGGCTTATGTATACACTAGTTGAAATATGAATAATATATAAATAAACCCAGGAACCAATTTAGATCAGTTCAGTTTTTCTGTTGTGTCTGCCCTTCCCGTAGATTTAGCAACTGTGTAAAGCTTATAAGAAGAAGCAATGTCTAACTCTAATTCTTTCCTTAATATCTAAATCATAGTCCTTAGACCTAAGTGCTATACAAACAGGATTGCAAATACATTTTTGGTTGCTTAACTAGATTTTGGAAGCAGGCACGCATCAGACTGGGAAATAGTTGTGCTTCACTCATAAAGAAAAGAGTAATCTGGCAACTTTTCTTAAATAATAATGTTAGATTTCTCTCTTTCAAAGAAAGCATTAATACTGAATTATCAGTCACAGGACAGTTGCTTTAAATTACATAACAAAAGTGGTTGATCGACGAAACTTTGATTGGTAGCCTGAATACATCAGCTGTTTTTAAAAATATTTAATTCTGGTGCGGCTTTATTTTCTACCTAGATGAATTGTCTGCTTGAATGAATAGAGAGGTCCATATTTCTTTTTTTTCTTCTTCTTTTTTTTTTTTTACATATATTTAATATATCTCAACAAGTCTTAACTATGATAGATGGTGGTAACCCCTTGATGATTCCCCTTAAAATTGGTATATGCTCTTTGCTGGTGCCTGGCAGCTTCCCTTCTATCTCTGAATTAAATATGTTGTTATATTAAGCTAAGACTGAATGCCTGAACATAATATGATTTTAAAAGTTTGAGACTGAAGAGCTGTGAGATTTTTGTCTCGAGTAGCATCAAATCCTTCCTGCCGTCGTTAGTCTCTCATTCTTTCAACAATCCAAAGCAAAACGATTGCATTGGCCTCACTCAAATTCTGACGTGAACTGAACTTTCCTACTGCAGAACGTTCGTTTTTTCACTCCCGTGTTATGCGAACCGTTCTGGGTAGGAAAACAACAAATTAGGCTCCTTCTTCTGAAAGAGAGCGTGAAACTCAACGGAGCGTAATTCAGTCGCACGCTGGGCTAATAAAATTAATGTTGGATATACATGCAAACTCTCTAGAGACCGCTTGGAGCAACTGGAACGAAAACGGGAACGGGAAAGGAAATTAAGGGAACAGCAGAAGGAGCAGCGAGAGTTGAAAGAACGGGAGAGGCGAGCGGAAGAAAGGAGGAAAGAACGGGAAGCCAGACGAGAGAGTAAGTAGTCCAGGGAACAAAGTGCAGGGTGGGCTGTGTGCAAGCGACGAGTAACGTGGGAACAAGCGTACGATACTCCTTGCATAGGAGCTACAGGCAAATACCGATAAAGGAGAATAATTTGTAGCTCAGGGTTGAAATGAGAGGTCCTTGGTGTTCTTGGAGCTTTGTTTTTGTTTTTCCCTTGCAGACGTTTCATTACCCAACTAGGTAACATCATCAGTGCTAGTGATGATGTTACTAGCACTGTTGCTCCTAGCACTGATGATGTTACCTAGTTTGGATAATGAAACGTCTGCAAGGAAACAAACAAGCCCCGGAGAGCACCAAGGACCCCTTTAGGGGCAAGTGGAAGTTGAAAGGAGACTCAGAAGTTTGCAGAACTTAAATCAAAGCCAACCTCGAAAGGCAAACCTCTAGCAACCGAATTTCATTTTTATTGTGGGCCAGTGTGCTCACAGTAAAAAAATGACAATAAAGTGGGCTACACAGCCCCGGTAGATTCTGAACATCTGGAAGGGCTCACCTTCAGGTGATGTAGCTTGGTCTGGATACAGTCAGGTGCCTGGCCGGCATGGGTCTCATTTTGGGAGAATTGTAAAGATTGCGTAAGAAATATCACCCTGGAAAAAAAGAAATGACGACAGATTCCCTTGTCTCTGTTAGTCTCAGGGCATCATAGGACAATGAGGGAAGACTACGGAGAGAAAGTAAGAATTTGGAGCCGAAGTCCTCTACGGCAACAGAGAGAAAAACTTGAACCGTCAGAAATCAGGAAGCCAGGTAGCTTTTAAATTCATCAACCGGACTTGTGGGTATCTTGATTGAAACCACCAAGATGGGAATGGCTGAAAGTACATTGCAGGTTTTATTAATAATCAGCTTTATTTTAAATCATGTGATTTAAGTATTGCCCTGCATGCAGGGTGATTGAAACACTGTTCCGTATTATCCCATTTAAGATTTCTTCTGCACCACAGAGGAAGCGGATAATTGTATCCTGTTTTTTATATTACTTGAAAACAAGGGAAAAGTTACGATGTCGCATAATATAAAACGTCCTTCAATCTCATGCACACTTCCCTTTGAGAAAAATAAATCGTGGCTGCCAACTGAGAACAGATTCTTGAGGGAGAATGAAATTGACAGTGGAAATTGAACGGCTATTTTAAATTTTCCAGATTGCTTTAGCCTGGAAAGTTTTAAAAGTGCATCTTGTCAATTTATAGCAATATATTTCTCTAGAACTCGTAGAACTGAAGCACAGGTTCTACGTAACTTAGTTATAGACCACTAAAGAAAACAGAATTATTGTGATCTGTGTAAACTTATAAAATACTTTTTTCCTTTTTTTTTCAACGGTCCAAAATAATTTCAGCGTTTTCATGAGGGAAGCATTGCTGTTCAGTTGGGTTGACAGTCATCTAATGAACATCAGGCAGGGCCTGCTTTCCAGATGGAGCCTATGGAAGGGAGGGAGGAGCCTCCCCCAACCGGATATCTTCCAGATGTGCATGTTTCAAATTGTCATCAGTGGTCTTGATGGCTGAGAATTCCCCGATGTCTTTGTGAAAGCCATCCCCGCTCTTAAGAAAGGAGATTTTAAAACAGTCAATTTGTAATTAACGTTCCTTTGTCACCTGGGGTTGCCCCCCCCCTTTTTTTTTTATTCTCCCCCTGCAGTAAGAGAGGAGAAACCAGAAGAAAAAGACCCCTTGTCAGATCTCCAAGATATCAGTGACAGCGAACGAAAAACCAGCTCGGCCGAAACGTCATCAGGTAGCTTTCTTGAAGGTGTCGATTCGTCGCAGTAGCCACGCTTGGGCCCACTGGAGATTGCCAATTCTTTTTCTTTTTTTTTCCCCCTCTTCCCCAGGGGAATCTGGATCAGCTTCAGAAGAAGAGGAGGAGGAAGAGGAAGAGGAGGAAGAAGAATCCAGCAGCGAAGAGTCTGAAGAGGAGGAAGAGGAGGAGGAGGAGGAAGAAGAGGAGGAGACAGGAAGCAATTCGGAGGAAGTATCCGAACAGTCAGCTGGTTAGTAGTAGAAAACAACCACTTTTTCAGTGTGCTGTATTACAATAATCCTCACTTAGTGGCCCTAATTGGGACTGGAATTTTTGTCGCTAAGCAAAACGGTCATCAATGAAACATCAGGTGGACTGCATCGTTTAGCAACGGCAGTTCTGGCAGTCCCCGTTGCGGCTGTTACGCAAGGACCGAATTTTGATCATGTGTCGGGGAACACTATAATAGTCGTAAGTGCGAGGAACAGTCATAAGGCCATTTTTCAGCATTGCCACAATTCCTGACTGTTGCTAAACAAATGATTGTCTATGATGCTCTCTGCTAACTGCTGTCGAAGCTTGGCAGAACCTGAATATAGATTTATACCACTGGTATTGCTCCATCTTTTGACTTTGATGGGATCAAGTAATCACCCATCCTCTTCCTGTTGTTCTAGATTGCAACACCCAGAACTTTTGGGCTGTTTGTGTGTGTGTGTGTGTGTGTTTCAGTTTAGCCGTTCCAGATTTTTTTTTTTTAAACCACCATAGTTCTATGAATCTGAATTCTGTTCTCCCTTTTGGCGCGGAGTGCAAAACGGCTGTTTCCTTGTTCCTGAAGTACATCTTTTATCTGTCTTGCAGAAGAGGTGAGCGAAGACGAAATGAGCGAAGAAGAGGAACGGGAAAACGGAGACCACCTTCCAGTTGGTAAGGAATCAGATGGAGGAGTGGGCTTTCAGTTGTGTCCTAGTCCCTTCTACAGGCCTTCTAGGATAGGTCAAAAACTCCATTATTTTCCCTAGGCTGATTCACTTTTATTCAGCAAAGGCAGACTTGGGCAAATTGAAGACATCAAAGTTTTTAAAAACTTGCCTGCAATGTCCTCTTTTCTAAGGATAAATGTTTCTATTCCCTGCTATTCAGGGTTTAACAATTGCACTTATATATATACCACTTCACAGTGCTTCACAGCCGTCTCTAAGTGGTTTACAGAGTCAGCCTCTTGTCCCTCATTTTACCGACCTCGGAAGGACAGAAGGCTGAGTCAGCCTCGAGCCGGTCAGGATCAAACTCCTGGCAGTCAGCAGAGTTCGTCTGCAATCCTGCATTCTAACACTGTGCTACCACGGTTCCATATAGTTACAAATGGGAAGTGCCTCACCTGAATTTTGAGTCTGTGTTACTGTTTGGTCTGCCTAGCTGTGTGTCCCCAATATCTTAAGGCTGCCCAGATGGCACAGTTATAGGAAAGGGGAAACAATCCTGTTTCCAGATGGCACAGTTACAGGAAAACCTTAAGACTGCCCCGATGGCACAGTTACAGGAAAAGGGAGCTTATCCAAACTGCATGCTCAGGGGCCGCACAACCTCTTGAACCTTTGAGCAACTCAAGCATCACGCTTCTTATGGTGAACTTCAGCTGATTCTGTGAAAACTTCACCCTTGTTACTAAGTAGAGTTACTCAGTAGCCCGGACTCAACAATCAGCCCGCTCTTTCTATGACATCAGAACTGCCAACCAACGTCCGTAGGGGATGGTCCTATGACAGCAACCCAACCCAACCAATCCCACTGCAGTTAGAAAGATTCAAGAGGACCAATCCCTTTTTGGCTTATTAAGAGTCCCAAGCCATGGATGGCTTCAAAAAGTAGGTTCCGCGGCTAGGCTAGCTAAGATGTATGGCAGCCAATCAGCCAATTGTCGGAAATGCTTGAAAGCAAGGGATGCTAACTACCATGTATGGTGGCCCTGCCAAAAAACTCAGGAGTTTTAGTACAAAATCTGGTTATGGTTAGAAGAAATGAGGAGGTTAAAAGTCAGTTATACACCAGAGATGTTTCTGTTAGGAATAATGGAAGAGAACTTCAATCAAGTTGATACCTAGCTAATCACACACGTAATCACGGCAGCTAGAATAGTATTCACCCAAAATTGGAAAGCAAATGAAATACCCAGTGAAGATGTTACAATTGATAAGATATTACAATGCGCCGAAATGGACAGATTGACACTAGAATTGAAGGAACAAGATAAATTAGAATACTATAAAGCATGGAATAAATTTTACTATTGGAGAGGTATGAAAGGGAGTTCACAAAATTTGAAATAAGAACTCAAGATGAAATAGGGAAGAGGTGAGACACCTCTTATTTGAAAAATTAAGAAAAAGTACTACAAAGCCCAAATGTGTGTGTGTGTGTGTATGTATAGAAATATCCTTTGAAAATCTCTAAATGCAAAATATTTTGACAGAAATGTATGTCAAAGATGACCACCACATTCAATGTTTTTTAATGTTTATATTCAATAAAAAATTATTTTAAAAAGAAAGAAAAGAAAGAAAGAAAGAAAGAAAGGGAAAAAAGTAGGTTCCAGAAAGTTCAGGAGAAGAAGATACACTTTTGGAATTTGTGCTAGGTGTTTAGAAGCCCTTGTATCTCTAAAGCACTAAATATATATAGCAACTAGGGCTGTTTTGGATGGGAGGCCAAGCTGCCCCGATTGGAAAACCGATTTCCTTGAGTTGATTCTACCATTTAAAGTTACAGAGTCGAGATTCGACCAGGATTCTGTGGGAAGCGAAGCTGAGGAAGACGACATCGCTGAAGGGACCCCGCAGTCCAACGTTATGACGGAAGGCGAATATCTTCCCGATTCCCCAATCTGCTCGCCCATAGAACTGAAACGGGAGCTGCCCAAATATCTCCCAGCCCTTCAGGTGAGACGCATCTCATACAGGTAGCCCTCGACTTAACCACAGTTCATGTAGCGACCGTTCAAAGCTACGGTGGCACTGAATGAAAAAGACACCCAACTAAAATAACCATTTAAATAAGGAGTTTAGCTTCCTTTGCTGCTTCCTAGCTACAAATCTTCAAAGCAAGATTTTTCTTTTTTTCAAAACGATTTCTTAAAAAAATGGGAACATTTGCTTCATTCATCCTTCTTGCACAGGGCTGCCGTAGCGTGGAAGAATTCCAGTGTTTGAACCGGATCGAAGAAGGGACTTACGGCGTGGTGTACAGAGCAAAAGACAAAAAAACAGGTAGAATTTTGGGGGGGAATTACGGCGGGTATTAAACCTGAGCACAATGCAAGGACATTCTCTCATTCCTGACTTCCACTTCAAAGAAAATTGGTCAAAATTTTTGGCTGGGACACTGAGGTTCTAATGTACCAATAGCCCCAACAGCTTCCGAGGCCAGTTACTCTGTCTGTCAGTCCAGCCTGCCTCACAAGGTTATTGTGAAGAAAAGGACAAAGGCATGTTTCTCTATGTCCACTTGAGCTTCTGAACGAAGGACAGGATAAATACGTCATCCCAAGGACCCAGTTTTGCACTTCTCACAAATCCTTCCCCTGACTACCCTGTTTTCCAAAACCTCCGGATTGAATCATTTTTAATTCAGTTCATTAAAAAGTAAATCACCGTCATTCATTTTTGGAGCCTCGGCCTTCAATATTTTGAAAATTCTTTCATCGGGTATGCTGAGGTTCAGAGATTGACAGTTTGCAATCTGGTTTCCTGGACTCAGGCTGGGAATCCTGAATTTTTTTTAAAAAAAAATACCTTCGTGTGGCTCCACGCCCCGTTTAATGGACTGGTGGGGAAAAGAGCTAATCTGCCTGCGAATCAAATTATGATCCTCTTTTATTTATTTATTTATTTTTCAGATGAAATTGTGGCCTTGAAGCGATTAAAAATGGAGAAGGAAAAAGAAGGTTTTCCTATTACTTCCTTAAGAGAGATCAACACCATCCTCAAAGCTCAGCACCCAAATATTGTCACTGTTAGGGTAAGCGCATTTTTTGGGTTGCCAGGGATTCTCGTGATTTCACTCTGCTGGAGTTGACCCCTGAATTTTTTTAGTCCCTTGCTAGAAGATTCAAAAAGGAGGCAAACATTTCTCCTGACATATTTGTTATTTATTAAATTTATATATACTATCTGTCTCACTGATACAGCTGTTGATTTTTTTTTTAAACCTCGCTATGAAGAGCTAGCAAGTGGGCACAACGGGAGGAATTCATCGCTATAATCTTATTTTTCCTTGGGATCTAGGAGATTGTCGTGGGTAGCAACATGGACAAGATCTACATTGTGATGAACTACGTTGAACACGACCTCAAAAGCTTGATGGAAACCATGAAACAGCCTTTTCTGCCAGGTGAGACCCCCGTGCACCCCTTCTCCGGTGTGAGAGAGACCGGGTGGCTTTTCCCTTCCTTTCTTTATACCTCCAATTCTTATATTCCAGGAGAAGTGAAAACTTTGATGATTCAATTGCTCCGGGGGGTAAAACACCTCCACGACAACTGGATTCTGCACCGAGACTTGAAAACTTCTAACCTGCTCCTGAGTCATGCTGGGATTTTAAAAGTAAGCCATTCAGATTTGCCTTCCTGTGGCCTGAAATTTGCTTGTCCTCCTGCAAACCCACCGTTCCACTTAAAATACAGAAACAGGAATAAGGAACAGCGGAGATTTAGCCCTGCTTATTTCTAATGAGAGCTGTGGAAGGACCCCACTAGACCAATCAAGCACTCTTAGTGGTTAGTACATGTTTCCCAACAAGCTTTCCTACTCTCATCTCTCTTTAGGTTGGAGACTTTGGACTGGCCCGAGAATACGGTTCTCCCTTAAAGCCGTACACCCCGGTTGTCGTAACGTTGTGGTACCGAGCACCCGAGCTCTTACTTGGAGCCAAGGTTTGTGATATGGGGGGGAGCTTCTGGCTAAGTTTTTTTAAGTGGCAGCTGTTTTTTTTCCCGTGCTTCATTTCCCTTAGATTAGTATCCTGGATTCCAGTCACAAGACACTTTTTCTGGAGGCTGTCACAACTTCGGACCCTGTTAAAAGAATGGTCGCAAGTTGAGGATGATCTGTACAAGCAGCATTTGTACCAGGTCGTCCTTGACTTGGGACCACAATTGAGCCCAAAATTCATGTTGCTAAACGAGAAATTTAATAAGTGATTTTCCCCCCTCCATTTTACGATCTTTTTTGGTCATAGTTGTTAAGTGAATCACTGCAGTTGTTAAATTAGTCACCCGGTCGTTAAGTAAATCTGGCTTTCCCATCGACGTTGCTTGTCAGAAGGTCGCAGATCACAGGCCCCCACTGGAGACACTGCCACCGTCGTAAATATGAACCAGTTGTCAAGCATCCAAATGTAAATCACGTGGCCCTGGGGATGCTAACAACGGTCGTAGGTCTGAAAAATGGTCATAAGTCTCCTTTTTTCAGTGCCTTTGTAACTTCGAACGGTCATTAAGTGAAATGTGTGTGGAGGACAACCTGTGCTTGGGCTACGTGGGGCCAATCAGAGATACACAACATCCTTTCTAGTTTCCGCTACTTCCATCTCAAACTGGGCTGATCCAATATTTCCCCACCCCCCACCCGCTTCTTTTCCAGGAATATTCCACAGCCATCGACATGTGGTCCGTGGGTTGCATCTTTGGAGAGCTGTTAACCCAGAAGCCGCTTTTCCCAGGGAAATCTGAAATCGACCAAATTAACAAAGTTTTTAAAGTAAGTCAGCCGCGGTGCTCACTCCATGCCTTGACTTAAAAGGCCGGTTGCAGGGCTGTCTTGACAGAAGCCAAGGTAATGGTCCCTTAGGTTGACCATTCACACCTATCCACCACTGAAGCTTGCAACTTGCGATTGTCGGTTTTACGATGGGAAAAGAGGGGTCTGAACATTTTATTGCAATGCTGTCAGATATGACAGGGTGTGCCTTCTTTGCTGTTTTAGCCAGGTTGCGTTACTTTGATAACAAACGGAAAGATTGTTGAGACTCTAGGAAAAGGGCAGAGAAGAGCAACCAGGATGATGAGGGGACTGGAGGCTAAAACATACGACGACCGGTTGCAGGAACTGGGCCTGGCTAGTCTAGGGGAGAGAAGGACCAGGGGAGGCAGGAGAGCAGCCTTCCAAGATTTGAGGGGCTGCCCCAGAGGGGAAGAAGGGGTCAGGCAAGGCACCAGAAGGCCAGGCAAGGAATAATGGATGGAAACTGAACAAGGAGAGATTCAACCTGAAAATAAGAAGGAATATTCAGACGATAAGAACAGTCAATCCATCCAATTAACCTTTTTAGATGATTTGATAACATGTAACCATGACATGGACTGGATTTGCCTGCAGGGTGGTGGCAAAGGCAGACAGATTTATTCAGTAAATCTTTTGTAAAATTGGCCACCGAGAAGGGAAATAGGATTCCTTCATTCTACCTGCTGTAATTATGGCTGCCTTTTTGCAATCGACTGACAGGGATTTAGCCAATGCCGATGGTGTTTCAAGTTTTATTATTTGTGAAAGATCATTCTCAAAAGGCAGCCATTTCCCAAGTTAGCTTCTTTAATCTTTGCTTTCTTCCTTTAAAGGACTTGGGAACTCCAAGTGAAAAAATTTGGCCGAGTTATAACGAGCTGCCAGCGGTCAAAAAAATGACCTTCACGGAGTATCCATACAACAACCTTCGCAAACGGTTCGGTGCCCTCCTCTCGGATCAAGGATTCGATCTCATGAATAAGTAAGTCGGGTGCTCCTTTCAAGAAAGCAAGCAATTATATTTTTGCTGGGATCAGAATTGGGCACTAATCCACCCCAGGGGTAGCTAAGGAGAGAGGCAGCTGTCATTCCCTGAGGAATTTTGACAGTTGACCCCAAGGGACAGATAGTAGGCTTGTCTTTATTTTATATTTGGACAAAATCCACTTCCCCCACCCCCGCAGCCCACTGATCTGCCCTCCACACCAAGAGAAAACGTTGTAATCACCCACAACGCTGTTCCTACAATTTTACTCCAGGGTATTGTGGGAAACCACAAGTCGATTACAGGCTCGCCCAGCAGGGGGCAGCACTTGACTGATCCTTGGCTGTGCCTGGTCGCGACCACAGAACCTGAAGATTAGGATGAGAAATTGAATTTTTTTTCCTGGAGATGGCTGTGAAAAAACCTGCATTGTTGCTCTGAAAAATGATACATCACGACTAAAATCTTTATGATTATTATTATGTTATCTCTTGCTTAGAACCAATATAATTCTATCAAGTCGGTTCAGATACAGCAGCCTAGGTGGGAAGATTAATCGGTGTCTTCTAATACCTATTCAGTATCCATTGAAATAACCCTGGGGTATATGCACGCATCGGACTTCATTTCTCCAGCATAGGAAATTATGTTCTGCGAATAACGACAGATAGTCCTCGACTTACAACAATTTCTTTAGTGATCATTCGAAATTACGACGACACTAAAAAAGGGACTCGAGGCCATTTCCCACCCTTGAGACCCCCGCAGCATCCCTGTGGTCACGTGATCGAAATTCAGACGCTTGGCAACTAATTCATATTTATGACGGTCGCAGTGTCCCTTTTGCGACTTTCAGACAAGCAAAAGTCAACGAGGAAGCCAGGTTTACTTAACAAACACAGCAAGAAAAATGGTACAATGCGGCAAAATTTTCGCTTAACAAATGTCTCGGTTTTGCAACATAAATTTTGGGCTCAATTGTGGAGGACTACCTTGGCTTACGACCGTTCATTTCACAAAGTTAAAAATGGGGGGGGGGGGAAGTGACGTGGATTCCGTTTTTCTTCAGTTCACCTATTGTGTGTGTCTGCTTTTCCAGATTCTTGACCTACTACCCCGGAAGAAGGATCACTGCCGAAGACGGCTTAAAGCACGAATATTTCCGCGAGACCCCACAACCCATTGACCCCTCCATGTTTCCAACATGGCCGGCCAAAAGCGAACAACAGCGAGTGAAACGGGGCACCAGCCCGCGGCCCCCAGAAGGAGGACTGGGATACAGTCAGCTGGTAAGTTCATTCAAGGAGTGTCATAATACAGCCAGAAACCTTCCATTAGTAGTGTTTCTATACAGTGAAAAGGGTATTTAGAGCCTGCTAAGAATGGAACAATAATAGCCAGTTTGGTGTAGTGGGCTAGAAACCAGGGGCTGGGATTTCCTGTCCCACCCTGGGCACAGAGCCAGTTGGGTGACTTTGGGCTCAGAGGATGATGAGTTCTAGTCCTGCCTTAGGCATGAAAGCCGCCTGGGTGATGTTGGGCCAATGGCCAGGAGACTGGGAGTTCTAGTCCTGCCTTCGGGTTAAGGATAGACTCACGTTTATGATGGTTGCAGTGTCCTGGGGTCATATATGATTGTCTTTTGTGTCCTCCTGACAAGCCAAGTCAACGGGGAAGCTAGATTCCCTTAACAAACCCGTCACTGACTTAATGCCAGTGCTCCACGTTAACATCCATGGCAAGGAAGGTCGTAAAATGGGGCAGAATTCTCTTAACCGCAGACTCGCTCAGCCACAGAAATTTTTGGGCTCAGTCGCCATTGTGAGTCGACGTGGTGTTGACACCCCTGGGGGTCCGTGTGTCCTTTTTCCTCCGCAGGGCGACGACGACATAAAAGATACCGGTTTCCACCTGACGACCACGAATCAAGGCGCCTCGGCCGCAGGGCCCGGATTCAGCCTGAAGTTTTAAAACGGAAGGGGCCGAAGGTTGCGCGATCGTGCGAGAGGAACCAGAAGGAAAGGGAATTTTTGTGTTCTCTGGGGGAACGGAAAAAAAAACATCGGGCTATGCCGATTTCTTTTTCCTTTTTGGCAGAAATATTCTCTGCAGTTGGGACCAGCTTTTGGATCAAAGTAGAGAAAGTTGGATTCCTTTTTAAGGATTGGAATTAATTCAAAAAAACCAAGGACCCTTTCGAGGGGGAGGGGGGGAAAAACCACCATGATCATCACCATCATGAGAACAAAATCCCAGCTAACTTCAGGAACTATTATTTTTTTAAAGAAAACACTTCTTGTTTCTATTTATGCTTTTTCCATCCGGATTAGTTTTTTTCTTCTTCTTGTTTGTACATATGTAAAATAAAAAAGAAAATGATTTTTAATTGTTTACTCGGTCTACAAATTACCTTTTTTTTCTTTGCTCCCTTCAATCTTGAGTAGGGTTGTATTTTAACACGTGGTGCATTTTTCCTTCTAGCTTTGCAAACCGCATGTTGTGGCTTTGCGACAGGAAGAAGAAAAGAGATGTAAAAAAAAAGAAAAATACGGAGAGCTGCTTGTCATGTTTTACTGCTCTCGGGCCTGGGGGGAAAATATGCAGGGAAACCTGACAAAGATGAACACCCCTTCCCCTTTAAAAATAAAAATAGAAAGTTAAGTCTTGATAGCCTTCTCTTCAGGCCTTAAGAAGAACGGCCCACTTGCTGAGTTGGGCTGGCTGACTTGAAAATGTGCTGATATCTTACTTTAATCCAATTGCAGACATTTTGCATCAGATGCTGTGGGAGAGAGGGAGAGAGAAAGAGAGAGAGGAGAAAGAAAATGCAGATTGTGATAGCGTAGCTTGCCTTTTTTGAGATGACTTTGATCTAGTTGTTAGCTTCCAAGCATTCCAACAGGTAAGTTGACAACTTTCAAGATTTGTGTTTCAAATGTACCTTCTTGCCTGCTTTGCTCGCCATAAACCGTTCAGGCCGGTTTTTAGACAAAACATACTTTTCAAGGGCCAGCTGAGGTTCCCAATTCCCAAAAAGCAAATACTGTCTTTTTTAAAATTAAAAAAAAAAGGTTTCCAAAAAGGGATCATTCGTGTATTGAAGAGAATGGATTGAAATTTGCAAAGCTATATGAATGTAGCAGGATTGATTTTGGTTTTAACAAACATCTTTGATGAGGGATAACGGTAGCCTGGAAACAGCCTAAAGTGAACATAGAATTAGTTTCCTCCTGCATTGTACAATACAGTTGCTTTAGGGCCGTGATGGCGAACCTACGGCACGCGAGCTGCAGGCAAACTTACCTCA